GTGGGTTGGAATCTTTCAGATAAATAAATAATGTCATATTTTTATAAAAATTTTAATGATCCAAAGAAACAAAATTACAATGATTTTCTTATGTAAATGTAAATTTAAAAAAAGTTTTAATTATTGTGGGTATCTACCTCAAAATCTAGAACTGGAACATTAAATCCATCAACGTCTTCGACTACATTAGCACTTGTAAAATTTTCATAAAACGGTTTAGCGTCTGAAGGAATTAGATGTAAATAGCTTTTAATATCGTTAATTTTATCCTCTGACAGGGGTTTACCATTGGGCCAGAGTTGCATAAGCAGCGCCGTCTCTGTATTTAATCGTCCTCGTCGCTCAATATCCAAACATACACTTTCATCGCCAAAATAACTAGGTTTCATAAAGATGTGGTAAGGATTTTCTTTTGTTAATATAATTTGTTTTGTCTCCAACCAATTTATTTTTTCTTTATTGGTGCCAACTTTTCTGTTTATTGTGGCCTTCTCGAGCTGGTGGGTACTCAAAAACCATTCCTTTTTCATTTGTGCAGCTGTTATTGGAGACTTTTTACGACATGAATTTATTATATTTATATAGTCTAAAGGTGTATATATTCGTTCTTGACGTTTGAGTTGACATTCTATATCCCCAAAATCTTTATCATTTGGTAGAAAACTATGGCCGGAAATCAGGAATTTAAATGTTATAGTTTTTATATTATGGCTGGTTTGAAGAAGACTGGCCATGAGGAGTGTTATTTTAATATTACGGTTCTGGCCTCCACAAGAATCAGACCACAATATAAGATGTTCAACAGTACTTTCTATGTTTTCTAAATATTTTACAATACAGGAACCAACCTCCTGAGCTCCTCTTCCAGCAGTTCCTTCAAGCCATACATAGGAATAACTCTTATTACGTTTGCCTGAAAATACACCGAGATTATACAAGCAAACTTGCCTCTTATAATATATTACATTGGTTGGAATTTTGGGTAAAGGTAGAGTTTTTTGAAGATCGTATGTTAAACACTCTACATTATCCTCATCTTTAGCTCGTTTTAAATCTGCCTTTAATGTTTCTCGTGATTTTTGGGCCAAATCCTGATGAGTGTCGAGTTCAATTTGTAAAAGTTGCTTTTTATGATCATCCGTTTCATTTTGTAGTTTTATTTTAAATGAATCACATACCTGGCATGTGTCCTTCTTGGGAACATTAAATCTCAAATTAAATTTTTCGTAAAAAATCCTCTTATAAATACCAAATTTCACAGGGTTTTGAACTTCAGATTTGTATAGATCATAAATCTTTAATAATGAGAGATGTGCCGGTAAAAATAATGCAGACGTGTTTTCACGACAGTAGTGCGATATGTACTTAGGCAGTTTATTGATCTGGTTGATTATTTCCTGAATTTTATTTTCAGGGACTTTGTTTAAACCACCTTGTTTTCTACCTCTTTGATCAAGAATTGGAGCACGATTGTTTACCTTTCTCAGAGCTGTTGTTACTCTTGACGGAGTTATTCTAAGACTATTGATAAACATTTGCCTATAAGTAAGGAATATTGTCTGGAATACAGACGTCTTTCAGTGTTTCTTCCATACATTCTTTTTTTCGGCATTTCGTGGATATTATTGGCAATAAAGATAGTTTGGGCATTATAAGACCCAAGACTCCAAAAACGATCAAATTCTTGTTTTCGTGACTCTGTAGAAATCAACTCAGAACATTTCATCGGGCAGTTACAATTGTAGTCATATTGAAATTCTTTAGCAGCTTTCAATTTTCCTTTGTAGTCAATGTAAGATTCATTTTTGTTCCTATTAATCTTTGATGTTGCTCGCGTCATTGCAAATTTCTTTTTTCTACCCTTCTTTGGACGACCTGATGTACTGGCTAAAAATGGATTATCATCACAACTTTCATTGTTATCGGAACTCTCTTCATGTGACGATGGTATAAACATATCAGAGGAACCGCTACTAAAGACATCACTTATTGACATATTCTGTAAGAATAAAAAGGTAGGTATTATTAGATAATATTTTAAATAAAAATTTCAAAAAATTATAGAAAGCGTCTATTTTAATTAAAGAAGTTAACTTTTAATCAATTACCAGGTACCAAAAAATAAAACAAATTCAATTCATTCAAATTAATCTTTTTCATAAAGTTTACTATAGGTACTCATCGAAAAATAATTTTCATATGCTTTACATTATTGTATAATTACTTTAATCAATAATAATTGATGATCATAATAATAGGTATCAATTTAACATTGGTATAATAAGATTAATACATATGTGTTTACAAAATTGTGTGTACCTAAGGAAGTTGTATTTTTTCTTTTAGATTGTAACAATAGGTACATCAAAGTTTAGTTTTCATTAAATAGAAATAATATAGCGAATAGCATTATAAAGCATTTTACTAAACAGTATAGGTACAAAGATTTAATACTTACATCATAATCATCAACAGAATCTATGGTAGAAGCTGATTCAAAACATCCAGTTTTCTCGTTTAAAACCATTTCACGAATACGACTATTGGATGACGATGGTTCGCTGTGACGGTAGAATTCTGTCACATTGGTATCATCCATATTCTACAATATATTTAAATTATGTAATGATGTATAAAATGCATTTATTTTAAAAATTTAGTAAACAACATAAACTTTTAGAAGCCGTGTCTTATAAACTGATTATTTTTTCGTGATTTTCGGCCAGATTAAAGAAATACCACAAAACTCTATTTTCTTCTATTTTCTTTATTTTTTTTTTAAGATTTAGTAACAAAATAAATTGAAACGTCGTAAAAAAAAAGAGAGTTTTGTGTTATTTCTTCAATCTGGCCGAAAACCACGAAAAAATAATCAGTAAACAACATATAGTTATTTTTTAATAAAAAATTTCCGACTTACCTCAACATTGGTAATATTTGAATCAAATTCCACGCTAGACATTACACTATTTGTTTGGTTTTCCATAAGTTTTGCTAGCTCACACATGTATTTGCTTCTTTTCGACATAATTATTATTAAATAAGTATTTTTAAACCCGAACAGTCAGAAAAATCAGACACAACTGAATAAAAAGAAATGTTTATCAATACATAGGCACATTTACTTAAAACTAAAGGAAAGTGATTACTATGCTTAAGATGAGTACCTATAATAAATTAATTTTTATCGACCAAGTTCCAGGGTTTATACGCACAAGGCACGTTTTAAACATTAATAGGGCACATTCCCGTAATAAAATTTTATTATCGACCGAAATTGAAGATTCAAACTACTTTTAACATATTAATGAAATAGTAAACGTAAAATGATACCAAGTGGTTTGGACGATTTCTGATTATACTCTTATTTTTAACAAGTATACCGAAATTTATAAGTAGAAAACATCCAATTCACTTGGATGTTTTTAACACAAAAAAATGCACAGTAGTTTTGTTATCGCATGGAGCGTTAAAGTGATCCAACCCACTTAGCCTGTTTTAACCACTCTTTTAACACGATTACTTAGATCGACATACATTTTTTAGAAAAAATTCAACCCACTTGGATTTTTTATTATCAATGAAAATCTCAGTTAACCTAGTTTGTGGGTTAGAACTTTGACGATTATTAAAAGAGTATGTAATGTTTTCACTTGGACGGTTTCTGCATATTATAAAGCAAGAAATTATATGCTCGCTGGTGTAAAGAACTCATTTTTAACAATTTGTGGGTTGGACGTTTTCTGCTTAACTACGTCCATATATCCTAAAAACCTATGTACATTATGAAATAATCCAAAGCCGTTAAAAAAAAACATTATGAAATTATTGTATATTCACAAGATAAGTCAACTGTAGCATATCGCGTTCAACCGCTCGCCCTTCGTTTGTCACTTTACTGGTGAATTTTAAATAATTATAGTATATAATCTCTTCTGCTAGTAAGCAACCAAGTGTAGTATGGCTGAGTACTGGTCAATAAAGATTCTATAGTGTTCTTCACAAAATTTTGCATTCTGTTTCCTCGTTTAACTGTTCTGTATTACAGGTACTTCCGCAATTGGTGTGAATATTTCTAGTATGGTTGTTGTTATTGTTCAATGTCATGAAACATGAAAAGTCCTGTATACTTAATTCTCAACTTAAGAATGTGATTTTAATTTCTTCAATACACTTTTTCGCTTTTATTTTAGAGTATAGAATAATTTCCACGTGTAGCAACTACACAAAACGTGAAAAAAGTTCATTTATTTTTTGTAATTCTGTAGTGTAAACAATGCATAAACCACTTCTGAAAATATGTTCCAGAAAAGGGACGCATCCGTGTATTTCTGTTGTATCTTACAATTATTATTTTATAATATATCCAGTTTTATACTAAGCTGTTTCCAGTAAATTCTTTCTGAAACTTCTAACAATATAAACATATTTCTGAAAAAAAAATTGTTGATTTTTATGTTCCGTTTAGTGCTTATACAAAGATTAATATAATGAAAATATGTTGCGATTTGAAGCCAAAAATTTAATGGGTTTAATTTAAAAACGATATAATATTATATTGGTTTCTAATATCGGCTGGCTTGAAAGAAAAGACATACGAATTTATTTTTAGATTTTCCAGTTTTTCCTAAAATATTTACTGGCCTACGTGAGCTCAGTCACAGATGATATTATTTATTTATATATTAACATTTGAGAATATTAAAAAACCAGACAGTTTTTCCAATCTTGAAAAATTTCTATGTTTTATTTCAAATAACTAGATAGTTGGTAGCTAAAAACTGGAGCAGATACATATCAATAAATAAATATCAAGGGCTATGTTAGTAAAGAGAACAATTCGATCAGATGCCAACAAAAAATTGTTTGTTAATAGGTAAATGGAAGCAATTGTACAATAACCTTTAAACTTTTAAATTTAAAGTTTATACTAATGATAAAAAATAACACCTTTCTATGCCCTAGATTTTTGTTTATATTCCTACAGAATCTTTATTCTAGAGCATCATGTCAACAGCAATGGACATGTTCCTAAGCGCAACAGACTCGTTGTCGTTCACAGATATCTTAGATATAGATATAAAATCTGAAATAGATACACTAGTTGGGGGACACAACGACTTCTCAGGATTTAACTTTAACGACATGCCTCCTTTAGAAATCGAAGATGTGCATGATATAAAATGGTTCAATTCCAACTCGAATCATTCTAATTTAGATTTCAGTGGAGAAGATGGCCCCACTATGGTCAACCCTAACGCTGTAATGCCCGTTATGTCCTTAGCACAAAGTATCAGGTGAGTTAGTATAGCACAATTTAAAAATACCATGAATTATCTTATTAAAACAACACTTTTGAATTATCTTATTTCCGTATTTGATCCACTTTTTAGGTCACCGTCTCCTACATTAAAAGAAAGCCATTTAACATTCTCGCCTGCTACTATTAAAATAGCAGCTATAAAACCAGATAATCCAACAGTTAAGAAAGACTTAACTTGTAAATTAGAAGAAGTAGTCGAGAAGAAACCTGTGATTAAGACAATTACGAAAGTGACACCTATCTTAGCCAAACCTGCTGTAAAAACTATCACAAAGGCACCAACTTTACTTACTTTTAGGTAATTATACGTTTTTAGTATGTCTAGTAGGGTGGGCCGAAAAAAACTTTTTTATATATCGTGTTGATATACCGCGGAAAAGTTTTTTTTTATTTTATTGACTTTTGGCACAAATTTTCTAAAAACAGACACAATATAAGGATTACACAGGGATTAGATTCTTCTCGCCCAGGGGCCGATCAGGGCATTTTTTCAAATGATAGGTAGGCCTCGGACAGATAGGTATACATACATTAAGGAAAGACATACGGTGTCAACAAAGATGGTTATATTTGTATATTTGTTGTTCTGACAAAAGACAGCAAACAATCGTAAATTTCTTTTCTGTCTAAAGCAAGAAGATGCAGTATATTATATGGGCTCTCAATGTTTAATTTTAAAAGTTTTCTGAAAAGCTCATTAGATTGAGCTCTATATTTTAAACAATCAAAAAATATGTGGTCTAGGTCACAAGTATTTTTATTTAAGTATTTTTATTTTAAATAAATGTGCTGGATAACATGCGTGATCAAACTTCACATTCTGCTTATAGTAGTTATACTTTTTGAGCGGAAAAGTTGCTACTAGGATAGAGTTTTAAATTATAAAAATAATTTTTCAAATTGGTTGATATCTTCCAAACGCGCATTGGTAGTAAAGTCTAAAAAAATTGGTTGTTTTAAATTTTTTTTTCAAAACTGTTCAACTCTTCTTGATTCGTCGATATTGTTCAGACTGTACCTGATCAACGACAAGTGTTTTATCTTTCCTGCCATGAAAATAGAGTCCCTACAGTGTCAGGTGTACACTTAAACATTTACCTTCATCTTGTTGTTGCCTGCGTTTACGTTCTTTAAGTTTGTTTTTATCCACAACATTATGAACTATCAATATCTGAAATCACACCAACGTCTTTTAGAACACTCGATGCAATCGCTACGGTCGCACGGTGTGATACTCCATAACATCCACTAACTACTGCTGTGGACTTTAATTTAACTCGCATCTGCCACTGAGATTTTGCAGGAGGCTCATAGTTATCATCTTCATCACTTAAATCTCCATCAAGTTCTTCAGATGAGTCACTGTTTGTGTTTGATGTCACATTTTATTTTGAGCATGAAGGTAGCGATATATCAACAGGAAGTATCGGTTGAGTGTTTTTCAGCCTAGTTATTCTTATTTTCTTTCGTTGGACTAGTTTCTGTGTCTGTTCAATGTCCACACTTCCAATCTTACCCAACCCATACTTCCTTTGTAAGTATACAAATCTATGTTCCAACGGGAGGATTTTTTATACACTCGCAAGTGTATTCATATATCAAAGTACACGCACATAAGTCAGGAGTCTTGTGGCAACTGCATTGTACCTTGCAACACGAAACATCAAAATTTTCAGCTGAGTTTTCTTTAATTTCGGAAAGTTTTCTTTTAAACAATGGCTTGTCTTTATCACGGTTAAAAGATTTTCGTAGTTTTTAATAATTATCATGAAAATTATTTATTAGTTGAACAATTCTGTACTCTGACAGAGTAGGTAAGGAAGATTTTTTAAATACTGCCTTGACTTTATTGGCTACGCTAGCAGAAACTTTAGAAAAACTAACACATTTGTTCTTAGATTTCAAAGCTAAATTAACACGTTCTTCAAAGCAGCATTTTAAAACATCTAGTGGGTCGGAAGCTTATTTGGAGGAATGTCTTTTGAATGGCCAAAAATGGGACACTCAAATGTCTGACGTGTTATCTTTCTGGAAGATTCCATTACACAAATCCTTGACATAAAACTTAGACAAATGCACTTTACACGACACGCTTGCTCGAAACGGCGTGGCAGAATAACAGTCTGGACCTGGACCTGGATGGATGGTGTAATGTGTGTGATAGAGTAGACATGAAAAGTAGGGCCTTTAAATTAGTTTTATGTTATCAAAAATTTGTATTTATTTTTGTATCTTCAAAGAAGAAAATTTCAAAAACGATATTTTTTAATATTCTTGAACGATGCGCGACCGGAATATGTAAATCTATCTTTTTTTCTGTGCTTTATTTTAATCCTGCTCCCTCAAGGAAAGATATACGCGGTATAGCAAAACGGTATAAAATATTTTTGTGTTTTTAAAAAGATTTAAATTTTACGACCAATGCGCGATCGGAAGATATCAACCAATTTGAAAAATAATTTTTGTAATTTAATACTATCCTAGTAGCAACTTTTCCGCGGTATAAAAACATGAAAAATAAAAAAAAATCGGCCCACCCTAATGTCTAGATAGAGTGTACATGATAAGTTGAAGAACTCATAAGTATCTATATATAATAATGTATAAACAAGAATTTATCTTCTTGTGTGTTTTCGTACTTAATAGTATGTACTTATATTGACAAAATGACGTTTCGTTTTAAACTAAGAAAATATTTATGTCGAATTAAATTTTAAAATGTACAATTCCGAAATGTTAGAAGAAATAATTATCACATCCATTGGAGAAATAGCTCAGTTAATTCCTACCAGATAGGCAAATTTTATTATTACTGTTTTTGGAATTTCTGAGTTCAACAAAAAAAAGTTTCATTTTAAATTATTGAATAGCCATATCAACTATCATTGATATCAAAATTGAGAATCATAATTGAGAATCAAAAGTAAACTTTAATTAAACTTGCCTTGACTTTTTTTCTTCAACCTTATCTAAAAAAGATTACGAGTTTTTCAAAGACAGTAATCATATAAAGTTTCTATTTATCATATGTTTTCTTTTAGAAATACTGTAAACCGAACTATAGCGTCACCTATAAATATTACACAAGTTAACAACATTGCAACCATACGAACTGTGACTCCATCTACGATTAATCGCAAAATTCTCAATGGTAGGCCCTTATATGATGATGAAGAACGGGCATTTCCAAAACCAGCTTACAGTTACAGTTGCTTAATAGCTATGGCCTTGAAAAACAGTAGATCTGGTAGCTTGCCCGTTTCTGAAATCTACAACTTCATGTGCAGACATTTTCCTTATTTCAAAACTGCTCCCAATGGTTGGAAGAATTCAGTGAGGCACAATTTGTCTTTAAACAAATGTTTTGAGAAAATAGAGAAGCCTGCATTGAATGGTGCTCAACGAAAGGGATGTTTATGGGCAATGAATCCTGCTAAAATAAGTAAGATGGATGAAGAGGTACAAAAGTGGTCAAGGAAGGATCCACATGCCATCAAACGGGCAATGGTAAATCCTGGTAAGTTTAATGATACGAATTAAACTTAATATTTAGTATAATATTTAGACATAAACGGATAGCATGTTTATATTCTAAATTAGGAAAAAGTCTCATTGAATAATTTATTTTTTTAAAGAGCATCTAGAAGCGTTGGAACGAGGCGAGATGAAATTTTCTTGTTCATATGACGAAGGAGATAATTTTGGAGATTCTTGCGGCAGTGCTGAAGAACAAAGTGAAGGCTCAGACTATGAACAGGAACAAGAAGTTGATGTTTCAAATGTTGCCAATACCCAATACGAATATATACAAGTTAAGGAAGAGGATATATCTGATCTGGACATCGAAGTAAGTATAGAAATTGCAATATTTAAAAATTGTGCTTTTATTTTGGATATTGATTTCTACTGGATTATAAAAAATATATGTGTAATGTCGTGTGTGTTTAGATATCTGGATTAAGACCTTTGGAAATATACAAATTCCAACATCCTATTTTAATTCATTACTTTATTTTTATAAACTCTAATTAACAACAACTTTAACGCTAGTAAACTTTTTAAAACTAGTATGAAATTAGATGTTCACGTAGAGGTATGTCAAATGTATTCATCAGCTTATGTCGCTTCTTAACACGTATGGCATGACAGACATGAAAAATTATAAATTCATCAAGACAAAGCAAGCTAAATGTATCTAAATAACGCAAAACTTGGGAAATAAACAGTGTTCAATAAAATATTTCTTAAAACATTTGTTATATTTAAACAATAATATTTTTATATCTCCTATTATATACACACTCAGTTTCAAAAAATGCAATCCATGGTGTATTCTTAATTTATTGTAACTCTATATATTCATGACTGAGAAATTGGGATCTAACTTTAATTGTGGTAGCAAATCATCTAAATGAAGTCAGAAATGTAGGTGTAAGCAGGTAGACTGTGCGACAACTAATTGATGAAGGTAATTTATCACCCAAAAGATTAGGGATATGTCCAATGATAACCACAACATATTACTGACCTTAACAGGTTGGTCGCCTATTAGGGTCAGTTAAGGTCGCTTCTCGCGGTGGAGTATTTTCCAATCCTGCGTTCTCAGGTTCCGATTCATCTTCTTTACTCTGTTAAAAAATTTTTCAGAGGATACTTTTCATCATCAGGTATGTATGCAATGCATATCCGAGTTACACACTGACTTTGTTTGCCCTCTTATCTTAAATATTTTGAAGCTTGTTATCTATAAAGTACTTATGGATGCCCATTGATGAAATTTTGTAATAAACTTGTTTACAAAATTATGATCTTTAGTTTGACCCTGAGAGGAGTATTGCCGTGGGATGAGTCAAGTCAAGTCTGTAACATATACAGAAAAACTGATAATTCGGGTTCAGCATTAAGAGTTATGCGGGTGGAAATTATGAAACCCTAAGTTTTATACTTGCACAACTGCGAGCTGATACATGCTTGTATCAATACCATACCAATCCCACAAGAACTCCAACCATGAAGTCTTTCTTCGTCCTGGACTGCGTTTGCTGCTATTTTCTCTTGCATAATATTTTGTAGCATTCTTGGGGCCTCTCATTACATTTCCGAACTACTCCAGTTTTCTCTTCTTGATGCTTTTTATAATCTCAGTAGTCTTGGTGAGACATTCTAGTATCGTGGAGTTTCAATTCTTCTCCACCCAAGAAAGGGTGGAGCTTTAGCTTCTTCTTGGAAAAAAAAATTGCACAAAAATTGAAAATTTTCAGAAAACTTAATTATTTAAATTTTGCTCATTTAGCAATTTCGGCTGAATAGTTGATATAATGCAAATGTCGTTTAACAGCTACATAGGCCTTTTCATCACAGTTTTTTTTTGTGCGTGTGCATCCGTTTTTTTTCTTAATTTTTTATTTTGACAGTATTTTTAAGATTCTCAATTGTATGATACTTATGTCAGTCTTAATAAAATATAAAAAAACAAAAAACATTCTGCAAATTAATTATTACAACCAATATTGTAGGTTGACATAATACTTCAAAAAATTGATAATTTTGAAGTAGGTAACCTGAAGCAATTAATATTAATTATAAGCTTTAATTTAACTTATTTCTCAGAAAGCTGTACAGATATAGGAAAATAATAAAATAATCTTTCTTTTTTTAAATAAAAAAAGATACATTTTAATTTGGGAGGCACTTTTCTGCCTTCCTGTATTTTTTTTTAATTCCGATGAGATTCAGTTCGTGAGACTTACAATCAGTAAATAAACCTTTAAAAAGTTAATTTTTTTATATTTTGAAGTCTAACTTTTTTATATTTTTAAGTACTTTCTTTATACGCGATTTTAAAAAATGTTCGAAAAACGACTATTTTGCGGGTGAATTTACCCCTATGCTAAAAATATGTAGTTGGTTTTTTTAACTTCTTAGAGGTTTTCTTTTTTGTTTGTTTGTTATTAGAAAAGACATAGTATGACATAGACTGCCATTACATCTTCGTAGACTTTAAGGCAGCGTACGATACTATTGACAGGTCCCAATTATATTCGGCGATGATCGAATTAGGAATACCAAAAGGTTTGGTAGAATTAATTAAAATGACAATGATGAAAGTCGAATGTAAAGTGCGCGTACAAGGGGATGTTTCAAAACCATTTAAAACCAACAGAGGACTGCACCAGGGAGATGCGCTATCGTGCACGCTGTTCAACCTAGCGTTAGAAAAAGTTATGAGAGATTCGGGAATAAACTTAAAAGGTATGATATATGCCCGTAGTATACAAATAATGGCATACGCTGATGATATCGTCATAATTGGAAGAACCCAAAATGAAGCAGTGGAGGCTTTCACACGTATCAAAAATGCCGCAGAAAACATCGGACTTCTGATTAACATCCAGAAAACTAAATATATGCCGGCCATATCAAGAATTCAACAAAATAACTTAGAGGTGCAACACGAAACGATAGAAATGGTAGAAGAATTCTGCTACTTAGGATCACTGGTAGACTACAGAAATAACACATCCGAGATAAAAAAAAAAAGAATAGGCGTGGCTAACCGCTGTTATCTCGGCCTGGGCCCTCAACTAAGAGCGAGAAGTATGTCAATAGCAACAAAGTGCAAACTTTATAAAACAATAATACGCCCAGTGCTCACATACGGATCGGAAACATGGACAATGACGACCCGAGATGAAGAGTTACTAGGAGTCTTTGAAAGAAAAGTATTGAGGACCATATTTGGCGGAGTAAACGAACAGGGTCTGTGGAGAAGGCGATATAACTTTGAACTCTATAGACTTTTTGGTGATGCAGATATTGTGAAGACCATCAAAATAAACCGCCTAAGGTGGGTGGGCCACGTTATGCGGATGGATGAGAGTGATCCCACTAAAATAACTATGCTAAACAGGCCGGTCGGAAGAAGAAGAAGGGGGCGACCTAAACTCAGATATCTGGACAATGTACAGGAAGATCTGAGGGAGACTGGAGTGAGGGGCTGGAGAAGACAGACACTCGATAGGGAAGGATGGAAGAATGTTTTGAAGCAGGCCAAGGCTCACGAAAGGCTGTAGCGCCAACTGATGATGATATATAAAGTTTTAAAAACAATTTGGTTTACTGAGATTGGTGTAGTAGATTTTGAGAAAAACGTCTCACAGTTTTTGACAAATGTGATTTTGAGAAAAAGGCTTTTAAATTATTTTACTATAATTTTATAAAATAAAATAGCCATATTTATTTTTTTACTAAATCAGCGATTCTTGGTGCATATTGGGTGTCCTCACTGTCCAGTAAGAGCTGTTAATAGTTGGTCAAAGCTTTTTTTTTCATAACTTAGCCCTCTTTTGTTGCTTCGTTGCTCCTTCTTATGGCTGGAGCAATACGAGCTTCGTTGATATATTCCGACCTACTCGTTACTATTTCTTCAATTTTTTGGCGAGGAACTGTGTAATTTAGAATTGTTTTCTGCAGTAAACTGATTACCTTTAACTTTTGTTTTCATATCCTGCTTATTTCAATGCGTCCCTTACTTCAGTGCCTTTTAAATGACCAATAGATCCATGCATTTTTCCAATTTTAAAAATAATAATTTTCCATAAACTTCAATAGTATAAAACACTAACATTTATAAGTTTTAGAAAGCAACTGTCGAGTTGCAGGTGCACAGGTGAAGCGGGGCGCGGTGTTCTATACAAACGATTTTTAGCTCCGGTGATTATCGTTATAAATTCCGAATAACTTCGTGTCTATTTCGAATTTCTTAATAAAATTTTAGGTTTTAAGACAGTATTTCTATGATACAAGGAATGTTTTTATGTAAAAAAAACTAAAATCGATTTTTTAAAAATTTAGAAAGTAGAAGTCCCCTTCACCACTGACAAAAATGTCTTGGAAAGCATATAAAATTTTTCTGTCTATATTTTTTATAATTTTGTTAGATTTTAATTGTAGATAAAAAGGATTTATATTCGCGGCTGCAGCGTGACTCTTTTACTGGCTTAATAAGCTGGTAGGCGCGTGTTCGATTTTCGCGAAATTTTCAATTTCTAATTTAATGTGTCGGTCCCGGCTACGTAAGTGGTCGTTAGGTAATGTTAAGATTGTTTGCGTGGCGTGAAAACCCTAACACTAGACCTTAGTTAGGTTACACGAACTTTACTTTTACTTAACAACACATTTTGTTTTAGGTTTCCGATGCTTATGAAGAAATAGAAGATGACCAGGAGATGTTAAGAGTAGAAGTGGCGCTAGCTCAAAAAGAATTATTAGAATATGAACGTACCTTAAATAACAAGAGGCGGAGGACGTACATATTGCAGCGCTAGGTAAACCACTATTAAGTACATCATTGGGTATTTAGAAAAACCTAACCTAAATTCTCAGTGTATCTTTTTTGTAAGGGAAAAAGCGAAGCTGTGTCTGATGGTGATATATATAAAAAAAAACTTTGTAAATAGTTGTAATAACCTTTCTCCTGCCTATATAACTTTTTAGGAATTAGTAAGTTAAGTGTTGGTTTTAAAAATACAACAAGACTGCCAATTCTGACAATGATGTTTTAAGTAATTTTTGGTGTCGTGTTCTGTATCAATGGACAAAAAGAGTAAAGCTCCTGATATTTATGTTTGAAAGCTGAAATTGGTAATATTTACGTTTACTTGGGATATTACCAAATTCTCATTAACTAAAATAAATTTGATGATTTATTTTTTTTGTCCTTCCATTTTATTATTTTTTAATCTACTCGAATGTATTTCACAGTTTCTGAACATTTTCCTTTATTTCTAGATATGGTTGCACAAAAAATTTCAAACTATAATTTTCAAGTAATATTTTTAATAACAAAACTCTATTTTGAGAACGTCAAAAAGAAACTTAATTTAAACTTATATTGTGGCTTATTCCCAATGAACACAGTAATTGTTTCAAGTAATGGTAACGCTCAATCCTTTAGCTCACTTTATAATGGAGTAAATCGTTGTTAAGTTGCATAACTTAAGATTATATATTAATAATTATGCCAATATACAGAATGGGCGACTGAAAACGGTGCAGATCTAGCCAAATATAGGCGTTGCATTTAATTTTTTAGAAGTAACAAATTAAAGTCATTTTTTTAAATCCGGAAACTAATTGTCGGCACCAAATTCGAATTTCTGCTTTAATCTGTGCCTTATAAGAATTGCAAGGCAAAGCAGACGTTGATAAAAGTGTAATTAGAATCTTTAGTGAATTGGTTTAGGATTAGATAAAAATCCTTAGTGAATTGGTTTCTAGTACTCATAAAGAGTATATCGAAATAAAAGGAAAGGCAGTTAAAATTTGATTTCACCTACAGTGCGTTTGTATATCCGCTTATACATATTTCATCCTAAAAGGAATCTTCGGAGCGCCTATTTACAAAACGCTCTGAACGTGAAAACTATCTTTCATGTCGTAGTAGAAGCAACACTAAAATGGCTTCGATATAGACGCAATAGCGACATTTAATCATAAATCCGGAAACTAATTGTCTAAACCAAATTCAGATTTCTGCTTTAATCTGAGCCTTCTAAGAATTGCAATACAAAACAGACGTTGATAAAGATGTAATTAGAGACATGGGGGATTTGCTTTCCACAACATATCATATCTCCTCAACTAAGCAAAAATCCTTAGCGAATTGATTTCTAGTACTCATAAAGAGTATATCGAAATAAAAGGAAAGACAGTTAAGATTTGGTTTCACGTACAGTGCGTTTGTATATCCGCTTATACGTATTTCATCCTAAAAGGAGTCTTTAGAGCGGCAATTTACAAAACGCTCTGAACGTGAAAACAACTACTCCTGTCGTAGTAGAAGCCACACAAAAATGGCTTCTAAGCGTTTTAGCCATAGCTAAAATAATTTTCTTTTGTTTACTATGTGCTAGCACAATTAATCAGTCGACATTACTAATATTGTAGTTGTGATGTCACTATCAGTTCATAACACATGATGAATCTTGTTTAAAATATACAGTGTTGGAATTCCAAAAAATCAATATAGAATCTTGCAACACTATAATTGTAGTCCAATCCTATTTATTTCTGCGGAATTACGCTTGTAAAATACGTTTATTTTTTATACTAATGTTCAAATATTTAATTTGTTTAAAAAATTGTTCGTATTGTATTAACTTTTAATTGTCTATTACCAAAAGAAAAATTAGGAAAATAAAAATTTTTTAGAAAATTATTTCTGATTTTAAAGTTAAAAAATGTTTTATTTGGAATGTAAATGTGGTAAATTAAATGAATTCGTCCAAGTTTTGAATTCTATTTCATGAAGGTGGTGATAAATATTTTTGTGGATATGCTCCACAGAAAAAAAAGTGTTATGGGACCGTCATCAGAACGAGGTGGCTATCGAATGGTTTCTTTTGTATATATGTAAACGAATCAGTATCAAATATATTCACATAATTACCAGCTTTTTTGCAATCATAACTAGAAATGAGTTGTATAATCGTATTTGAATGAAATAGAGATGGACTGTGGCAATTTCGTGATGACAGCTTTACATAATTACCCTGTAAGTAACAGGTACTATATAACTACTTAAAAATATAAAGTTTTAGATGTTTAACGATCAAATTAGTTAAAAGTCTAGATTTATTTATTCATTTACATTTTTTAATTCTGAGTAGTACAATATTAAACCTTGTATCAGAATTCATTCTAAATCTCAACGTTGTAGTTGAGAATTTCAATAAATTTTGTAAGTGAATGAACGTAATATCGTGTAGCTTAAGCATAGTGAGTGCAGTAGAGATGTTTAGTTTTCTAAAAGAAATCATGGCATAACATTAGTTAAAATTAAGGTTGTAAAAAAGTTAAAAGAAAAATAGAATAAATGTTTGTATACGACGTTTTTCAAGAAGTAACATCACTGAATTGGTCAATCACAGACAGCTTTTTGCCGTTGTAGGCTTCTCAGGTAGATTACAATTCAGTGTATGTTCAATCAAGCTGTCATCGTAAGTTTGTATACTTAATAGAACTGTGCCTTGGCTCCTCACTGTTCATTAACTGAAAGTATGCATGTCTATAAAACACCTATTTCACATTCGAAAGGGACCAGTTCAATCACAAGTATTAGTTTTTACGTATATTTTCAGGTCGAGTTTCATTAAGATTATTGAGAAAATACTGTTTTATTACGCTTAAAATAATCATTATGTTTATAACAATTAAATAGAGATAATCACCTATAAATTTGTAACAAGACATATATCTACATTAAAAATAAAAGTTTGTATTAAACAATGAACTTTGTAATCTTCACTTTTGTCGGTCATTGATTTACAGTCGAGTAAAGTTCATTAATTAGGCCAACAGAATAATTATGAATTTTTTGTTATAGGAGTTATATAATAATTTATGACCAACAGGTCTAAAATAATTTTGGTTGTGCAGTTTTGCAGTTTGTGAAATAATTAAAGACAGTTGCTTCATACTGCATAGAATATTAAATGCACTTAATTGATTTCAGGTGTAAGTGTAGGAATGATGGAATATACTTAGTATAATGTAGTATTTTCAACTGTCTACATTTATTAACATTTGAAAGTTAATAAATAAAATTAAATAATGATGTTAAATATTAATAATCATTAATGAAGCTCTACAAAAATTAATATAACAATAAATTACTAATTTAGTTTTTTTACTTAAATCTCGCAATTGTGATATATAAACCCATGTTTTCATGGCCTGTTACAAGTGTAAGGGGATTTGCAATCATTTTTGTTCTAATTAGAATTTCAGATAATATTTAAGAGATGTTTGTATTAAAGCAGCTTCTGTAGATTTTGATCGAAAGCAGTGAAATATTTTAAATTTTTAAAAAATATTTTTCCACAAATTTAGTTGGTTGTTGCACTTATACTAATACAAGTTTACAGCATCGTCTAAACTAAAAAAGATAGCGAGATGTAGATAGTATTTTTGGGTGTTTCATGGCCCTACACAGAAAACAAAATAATTGATAACTGGAACAAAATTATCAGATACCACTGTGAATGATCTAACCTATATACACTCTCTAATACAAAATTCCGCTACTATAAATTTTTTATTAAGTTTGACAATTTATAACTTTTTTATTTGTATACCGATTTTCACGTTTATTGCATCAGTTTGTAGGTACATATATTGACCTCGTTTGTTATTATTCTGACAATAAACAATTATTGCTTAGATGGCATTATAGGGGGTGAATAGAAGCGTTGTGTTTTCTCCTTACTTTAAAAAATTCTGTGGAAAAATTGAAGAGCTGATTTTGTTTCATAGCCCTTTCGTATTATTTCGGAGGCATCCCTAAGATTTTGTTTTTTGCATTATCCGAAATTTCTTTTCTTGTAAGAGCCGCTCAATTCCATGTAAATAAAAATACTGATTGGCTCATAAATATGAATATCCTGCCGGGCACGTCGATAAAAAGTAAGTGACAGTAATTTATTTACATTTTCATTTGTAAAAATGACAGTGCCAGTGACAGCAAGAAAATAACTTATTTATCATGGTGTTAACAGTAGCAGACGTGGCTCGAATTGTTGCTTTAATAGAGGATGGTCGTACCAAAAGTGACGTGGCATGGACTTTAGGGTTTCCGCGTTCATTAATTCGAGATGCTTGGAATAAGTGTCTGGAGACTGAAAAGGCTCTGGCAGAAGATCAGCTATTGCAGCTGATGATCGTTTTGTCGTTGTTAGATCGTTGAGAAATCGAAGAGATAATGCCGTGCCTCTAAGAAACCAACTGAAAATTGTACGTCATGTAAATGTAAGTCAAAGAACGATACTAAGGAAATTGGCAGAAGTTGGGCTTCATTCACGAAGGCCGGCGCCACAACTACTTCCTCGGCATCGACAGCAGCGACTGGCGTTTGCAAGATTGCATATCCACTGGACTTTTTCAACAAAGGGGTAACGTTTTATTCACCGACGAATCAAGGTTTTGTTTGAGGTGATAAGCTCCCGATGATCGGGAGCACGGTTACAGGCGTCGAAATGAAGCATTTGCCAACTGCACCATATTAGAGAATATCATCATATGACGGTTTTGTTATGATTTGGGCAGGCATTTGTAGCGAAGCATGTACCGATCCTCTATTCGTTGAAAATGGACCTATGACTGCCCGTCGCTATATTGAACACGTTCTCCAAGATGTAGTTCCATTTGCTCCGTTTATTGGGAACCAATTAAAATTAATGCACGATAATGATAGATCTCACGTTATTGTAGATGATTAATCATTATTAACGATCATTATTATTATCGATCCAACCTCATCTGGATGAGGTTGGATTGATAAGATTGGAATGGCCGGTATGTGGCCCAGACCTCAATACGAGAGGTGTACATACTCGCTATTGAATTATTTTGTTGTTTATTTTAGTAAATTTAGTTTTATTTAATATTTTTAATTAAACCTTCGAAGCAGTGTTTTTATTTACAGCTCTTACCAGAAAATAGACAGTCAGATCATTCAAAAAACAAAATCTTAGGAATGACTCCAATATAACACGAAAGGATTATGAAACAAAATGAATCTTTGAACGAAAATCTGAATAAATTCTGACGTCCCAGTTTTCTTGGATATTATAACAATGGGTGATGACCATTGCTAAAAGTAACTGGTTTTACCCACCTGCACCATTTTTTCAAGTTTTCGCTCCACCATTGGTTTTAATGCAAATTAATGGTATATCACATGCTTTCATTTCAGTATGTACTACATTA